GGAAGAGATTATGCAAATGAAGCATGAGAAAATGCTAATCCACAGTTCATTTGCATTGCCTCTTCCAGCAAAACTCATAGTGTAGACATAGAGGAGGCTCCCTCTGATCTATTGCTGGCTGGTGCGGGCTTCTCTTCTTTGCCTCTGGTTTTGAACTCTTCTTCGGCATTACTAACATCAGCAACAACTTTTGGTGAGAATGAGTGTAGCACTTTTTGGACAGGCTCCCTGTTGCTGGAGAAGGGCCTGGCACAGGGTACAGTGGGCTGGATGTAGTGTTCTTCATTGTAGTTCTTCTTCCACTTCCCCCACCTACCCTTAATGGTTGATGAGGTCTGAAAAAGCAGGCTTGCACATGAATGCAGTGACATGGTTATTAACCATAAAGGTTCAAGATATAAAGTTTCCAGAAACAATAATGTATTTTAATAAATTGAAAGTGAAATTGACCTTGAAGTTTAATGCTGTTTCCTTTTTATTTATCACATGGTGAGCAATTTTAGTACACTTACTAGTCCACTTCTTGTTAAACCACAAGCCCAACATTTTCAATAGAAGTGGTGTATTACAAATACCTGATGGAGAGTTTCTTACACTAGTTCCACTCAATGAGGTGGCTGTTTCTACCTCTGTGGAGAGTGGGGCTGTAGCAAGTGATGAACTCTGTAAGTGGGAAGTGTCCTATTATGGGCACTTCCTCTGACCTGGGACTCATGATAATTTTATGTTTGTTAATTAACAATAGTTCTTTTGCCTTCTCATGACTTTTTAATTTTTTTTCAGGAAAAATAAAGGAATGCCTTTAGATTTGGATTTATAATTATTACACAAGACTTCCAACACTTCTTGGAATTTTAGAATAGTCTGTATGAGTTGTGACTGTTCAGATAAGGATGTTTACTGGTTTGGAATAGTAAATCAGGGTTGGGTTGCATTGGTGAAATAGGAAGTTTCTCAATGCTTGTTCTTATTGTGCCTGGCTCAGCTCAGTCTTCAGCTCCTCACTTTCATGAACGCTAACATTGCCTGATGTGCTATATCTGTATATTACAGACACCAACTCATTTTTGTTTATGTTTTGAGGAAAAATGATGCCCTTGGAATTTTTTTTAAAAATTTTTATGTTCTCAGGACAGTATTTCCCAAAGGTCCTCTTTTGTATGCAGGTCGTCAGGGTTAAATCCTGGTCCGGTTGAAATCAGTGGCTCTTCAATAGGGCCAGCATTACTACAGATGTCATTCCTGCCTATGATCTTAAATCAGCAAGGTCCTGCCATAGTTAAAATCAACAAGGTACCCCATCTTCCTCAGTATTTGTTTAAAAAAAAAATTGAAGGCAAGTGTGAATGTTTTGTCAAAGGCCTGATCCCCCATCTCTACCTCTCCCTATTGTAATGAAGGTCTAACTACTTCCAAGATCCACTTCTACAGTAAGTGGTACAGGGTGTACCTCCCTTAACCAGGGTTCCCTTGGCCGGCAACATCCATGGTCCAGCATGGACCACGGATGTTCCTGGACCTGAGAGCCCAGGAAGAAGAGGTCTGGCACTGGAGCAGGAGCTCTGCAAGGGGCACCGGCAACTCAGCCAGGAGCCCTGAGTGGGGGTGGGTGGGATGGGCTGTGGAGCTCTAGCCTGGCCATGGACCTCTGGCCCCAGCCAGAGAGCTCCAATCCCAGTGGCAGCCAGGGAGCTCTGGCTCCATCCCTGGCCATGGAGCTCCAGCCACATTCTGGCTCCAGAGACTGGGGAACTCCAGCCCCAGCAGCAGCCAGCAAGTTCTGGCCCCAGCCTCAGAGCCAGGCAGCTGTGGAGCTCTGCCCTGGCTGCCCAGCTCTGGCCATGGTACTCCGGCCTTGGTAGTACCGGAGCTGGGGAGAGCCCCAGGGGGCTGACACAGCAACAGGGACAGGCTGGAGCCCTAGCCCAGTGGTAGCACAGCCACAATGGGAGAGACCTTCCCTGCTCCAGCAAATTCTCTTGTTCAGGACCAGTCAGGTTCTTAGGGTACTGGGCCGGAAGGTCCAACTGGTGGTAGGATTCATTCACTAGAAAATTTGCAGTTTATACAGAAATGAATTTTATTTTGTTACTGAAACTACATATCAAATAATTCACCAGCAGTTAGGTTCATTCAGTAGCTGCATTTTTAGCAAAATTTCTTCTAAGGATTTACGAGAAAGGGATGCCATTAAATTAAAACTTGCATATCTGCCTGATAATAGTTAATTGCTATTTTTACAGTATCTGTAAGTGGAAATTTTCTTTTTTTCTGTTCATTTCCTTTTTGCATATTTGTATACCTAATTTTGTTGTTTGCTGTATAAAATCAGGCCCTGATTTTACAAGCAGCTCTTTGCAGATGGACCCTAAAGGAGAGTCCCATTGAAGGTCTATGTGGGCATACGATTCTACTGCACAAAGCTGTTTGCAGGATCAGGGTGTGTGCGAGTTTCCTCTATTTGCATGGGGTTTTGCAGAGGGGTTGGAGGGATGGTCTTTCACACATAATTTTAACTTGGTTGATAAACTCATACTTTTATCAATATTTTTCTTAGCTACACCAATAAACAACCCCGAAGATGTGTTCAGAATGTCTACAGAATAGTGGGATAGCCGTTAGTGATTCATTCACCTGGAAGTAGAACATCAATCTCCTTCCACAGCTTCCTTCTTTGAGCACAAATTGCTTCCAAGCTTAAACACCAAGGCATCCTTCTATCAGCTCCTTCACAGACATGGATTTCAGCTGACAAATCTGCCCCCTTTTCTTCATCAGATGTCTAAGAAGTAGTATAGCTCACTGTTCCTTATCTATGCATTTATGCTAATAAAGCCCATAATTATTCAACAGCCTTGTTAATGACTGTTTTTCCCCTTGGGAATAATCTTTCTTACATTAATATTCCTGGATATATCCTGTTCATTCTGAACATGGTTTTTTTTCTTGGCTTGACTCAAAACATAGCCATTCAATGCTACTGAAGTACTGGCTTCTTTTTACAAGTGCATTTTACAAGTGCATTTGCTGCAATACTGCATTCTAATTTGGCTTGTACTGATCGCCATTCTTCAGAACAAAATGAAAAAGTGTTTATGAAAACAAATTTGGACTACAGTCATCTAATCTTTAGGGCATATGTATAATAAAATAGCATGTCTATTTAAGGTTAATGAGCATTACTGTACGTAACCTTACCAAGGCAAGTACAGATCCTTAATGCTTTCTCTTAAGTTCCTCTTTACGAATCTCAATATTCTACCATTACAGTTATTGACCATTCTTCCCCTTCAAGTACTTTTATTAACAGATTTTATAGAACAAGCATTTTAGTGTACTCTGCTTGGAAAACAGACTGATGTTCATTATGACAAAAAGAATGTCTTTTCCATTATAGGAGTACACAATAGATGTTTTCTTCCGTCAAAAATGGAAAGATGAGAGGTTAAAATTTAAAGGCCCAATGAACATCCTGCGACTGAACAACTTAATGGCTAGCAAAATCTGGACTCCAGACACATTCTTTCACAATGGGAAGAAGTCAGTAGCTCATAACATGACAATGCCAAACAAACTACTACGAATCCAGGATGATGGAACTCTCTTGTATACCATGAGGTACATCTTTTTTTAAATCTATTTATATACACAATATTTATTTACATGGATTTGCTAAAGTATGAATACTTTATGGCTCATGCTATATACCTTACTCTGGTTGGAGAGATGTAGTCCACTTTCTCGGTCAGAACAATTAATTAAATTAAACCACATTGCAACTGACTAGGAACATAAAAAATGTGTATCTACATAGATATTCTTGCTTTTTCATATTCTGTAGCAATGCTATTACTTGTACTGAGCAGTTTAAAACCGTAATTGTATAACAATTGCCAGAAATCTCCTACTTACTTTTAAATTATTTTCTTTGAATACATTTAATGAATTGTTCCAGTTGTGAAAGTGAACTCCATCTCTCTAGCTAGAGTAAGGCATACATCATGAGTCATAAAGCAGTAAGGTAATATAAAGTCTTCCTACATAGCTCTGACAGTTCACCTTAGTCCTGGTTTGCTGTATAACTCCCAAGCAGTTACAATTCTGAGTCTTGATAAATAGACTGCTATTCACATTGAATTATGTGATCGTTGGAAAATTCATAGAAAAGTTTGCTAGGAACTAAATTGATGCCACCACCATTTATAGTATTTTCAACTGTGATCAAATCAATATTTGAATTCATGTCAGTCTTAACTGACTGAAATTTCAACCATTCAGAACCTTGTCTTTAATTTGTGAAAGAAATCAAAGAAAATGCCATTTCCACTCCATTTGAAGAGAGAGAAAAATTGGAGGCCGCTAATGTAAACTGTTACATAGCTGCCAGATAAAGTTAATCATGCAATTGTGTACAATTGTAAATCAACTAAGTAGAGGTATGTTGCTCTTGAAGCTGTGAAATTCATGTCTTAAATTACTTCTCGTTAACTTCTAACTATGAATCTTAAGAAAATAAAGCTAAATGAAGCACTTCACTTCAGAAAATAAGGTGCATGCTTAATATAGACAGTTTTGGTTTTCAGTCTGTGATTACTTATTTTAATTTTTTACTGTAGCTAAGGATAGACTCTACCAGGGCCTGCCCATTCATGCAATTCAGTGCTTAATAAAAAGCAACTCAGATGAAAAATCTGAAATAAATTATTTTAAATATTTTAAGATTATGTTTATCTTTGAGTTTGAGTTAAGAATGTTGGTCAAGACATTCCATGTTTTTATTGTTTTGGCATTGATGTGTGCATTGTAGAAGTTGAGGAATCAGAAGATCCATTTTTTGAAAATGGATGCATTTTTTCCTCACTTTCCACATAAGACATCAAATAAATGTTCAGATGCTTGTGGAACACATTTCTTAGACAAAACATTTGTTTTATATGCTTTTGCAACAAACTATTGGGAGCCATACAGCCTGTACTTCTGAATATTAGAAGAAAATGACTATTCTTAACACCTCATAGTTATATAATTTATATTTTCATTTAAATTACCTTTCCTCATAGTTTTGAGGTCAGCTGTAAGTTTTTGATGTGATAAATCAATGTCTTCTGAAGGACCACACAAAAGTAAAGAAGCAATCTGTGATATGAATTTTAATTAGTTTAATATAACCCTGCAATTTCATCTCCTAAATCAGCATGAATTCTGTTCATTTTTGTGGAATTGATTTTTTTGTCGTGTTCACTGACTTAAACATATAGTGTTCTGTTGCCTTTTAGGCTTACAGTCCAAGCTGAATGTCCAATGCACTTGGAGGACTTTCCAATGGATGCTCATTCATGCCCATTGAAATTTGGCAGCTGTGAGTACATAGCTAGGAATGTAGCTGTTGGCTAATGAATATCTTGTGGTTCAACATCACTTTGTTTCACAAGTTGTCATTGCCCAGGTTTATGTAGGCACAGAAGGTTATGCTGTATTATGTATTTTGACATGCTGAGATCTTTTTCAGAATTCTATCTTGTAAAGCATTCGAAAAATTACTGTAAGTCGCTTTAACTAAAAATGTTGAGAGGATAATTTACCATACATTGTTCCAGTTTTATGCTAGTGTAATTCTATTGATTTCAATAATACAGTGGTGAATCAAGACCTATATACAAACATACAAATATTGTATTTATACAAAGTAAACTAATGCCTTCTAAACCAAGACATACATTCAAAAATATATCTCTGCAGTTTCTAAAGGTTCTAACTTGAATAATTTAGAATGCACTGCATTTCTTCACTTAATAATATGTGTTGTTTCATTCTTAATGAAGGCTGCAACAAATGACGACTTCTTGAGATTAAAGTTACAGTGTATGTTTTGTAGTTTAATATGTAGGGTCTGATCCTGATCTCACTTCTACCAGTTTTATACAAGTATATCTAAACTTTAGTGGTGTTACTTCTGTTATAAGAGAGATCAGAATCAGTCCTATGATTTATAGTAGTTGGGGATTTTTAAATATTATATATATTCTTTCTATATATTTCCATGCTCTTGCCCTTATTTTCCTGAGAGAGAGCAGCAAATTCACTTCCACGCGCAAAAGAAAAGGTGAATTTCAAGGGGTTGGTTACTGCTATCTGATTCTCTGGCAGATTTCACACTGGTCATAGCCCAATAGAGAACAACACAAACCCCACATTCTACAAGGTGATAAGCAAAGGGGTAATTTTGTTGATAAACTGGGCATTGTCATAGCCTTGTATATTCTGTCTATACCTCTGATGTGTCCCCTTTCCCAGGAGTGTATAGGGGAAAGACATAGGAATTGATTGCACGAGGTCTGTGCCCTCTAGGATAATCTCCATGCTAGGGGAATCTCCAGTTGGAGAGATGTAGGTAGCTTTTTTGCACTGAAATAGAAGGGACTACAGATTTTTATCAGGCATTATTTAACTAGAAAATATGCAAATAGGAGTTGTGTCTGGTGAAGACTGAGTGGGGTCGTCTGTTACAAAATCTACTTTGAATATAAATCAAATTTCTTTCCTGCGGAAGTCATCTTTTGCTGTATATACAAATTTAACTCAAACTATGTAACACATAAACATAACACCAGATAACAGCTACATCAATTCAGAAATAATGCTGCTATGTAGACGTACCCCAAAGGTGTTACATAAAATCAACAAAAAAATAACATACAGGTTTTGCAGCTCCTGTTATCTGTGTGCAGAAAGAACACCCAAGATTTGGTGTACAAATCAATACATATTTACCATATGTACTAGGAAGATAGTAAGTTATATAACAATGAACTGATCTGCCGACAAAGTATTATGAAAGGCTGAATTCCAAAGGGAAAGTATAAAGCTAGAGGTAATCTCAAAACATTAAAGAAATCCACTGATATACCTTCTTGGACAAAGCTATCACTGTATAGCAGTACTTCATTTGTACACAGATGTTTGGTATATATCTGGCTGGAATTGGGTATGTTAGACTGAGTGAGTTTCTTCTGCTTTTTGGTCTGTATGACAGTGCTTGTGCTTGTTTTGTTTATTTGGCATCCTCCCAATCTTCATGTTCTATAGGAAGAAGAAGAATTGAAGCCTGATCACAATATTTTTTTTCTTTTGAAAAGCTGACTTTTCCTGCAGGCTGCAGCTCACAATAATGAAGAACTGCTGAAGATTCTCATGCATGCCTTTGCATACGCCCACTTTGCATCTTTCTCACCTGTTCTTACTCTTATTTTTTTCATTGTTTAATTTCTCAACATTAAAATAATTTCTAGAATAACATGTATTTTTCTAATTTTAACAAGGTTAAAAAAAATTCCCATAAATAATTATAAAAACAGCTGACCAGCTGAGGGTTTACAGCTGAGGGTTTACAGCTGTGGTTTACACCTGTGGTCAAATCTTCAGCTGTTATCAATCAGCATAGCTCCACTGAACTCAATGCTCAACATTACTGTCACCCTTTTGGAGCTTAGCTTATCATCAGATATGGAGTCTTTACTTAGGGTGTGCATCTAGCTTCTTCTCTTGGAGCACCCTGCTTTTGAACTTGTCCATTCAGTTTCAACAGCAGTGAGGCCTGTGACTCTCTCTCCCTCTTGGCCGATCTGTCTTTGTGGCCAGCAGTCAACAAAGCTTCTGTCAATAAAGAGTGTCCAGACTACATCCAATTCTGTCGACAAAGCAAGCCGCTTTGTCAACAAGAGAGTGTAGATGCAAAGGACAGTGTATATGCAATAACGCCTTCTATCGACAGAACTCATAGAATGAGGTTTACTGCGGTCGACAAAACTGCCGAGTTCTGTTGATGTTATGTTGACAGAACATAACTTACTGAGATATAGTAATCTTCTTCCAGTTCACACTACCTTCCTATGGTGCTGTTCCCTTTTTTAAGCTTTCCTGCGCCAGGCAGAGTAAAACTTTCAAGTGTGCCTGAATGAGTCTAGAATAGCTCATTTGTCTCCTCTCTAAAGGAGCAAGCGTGGGTCCCTTCACTTTGCCAAGGAGCACCATGGGTATTTTCCCTTTTTGCTATCCTCTGGAATTTACTTTGTGCCCCATGCATTTCAGAGGGGCCATGTTAAGGAGTAGAATTTAAAAAGGAAAAAACCAGGCCCGGAGATAGCTGGGCACAGTGACTCTTGTTGCAGTAGTAGGCACTTCCACCATATTTAGATATGAATATCAAACAAGCAGGAAATGCCTGTCGCTCATTTCAAACTCATAGATAGGAAGAAACAAATTTCCAGAAAGTTAACTTGTCCTTGACATAACAAATCATACACATTCCAATTCAGATTTTAGGGCACATTTAATAAGCAATCCCCAATGAATAATTTAACAGTTTAGAAATAAATGTTGCTTACAACTCAAGAGCAATCATGTTCAGTTGGTTAGATCAATGAAAATTAAGAATACACAGTCCTCTGCTGCATGTTCTTATGCCCTTATGTTCTAAGGTATACTATGAGACTTGCATACTTATTTTTAAGCAGTTTGGAAATTATTTTGCCCTATCAGTTTTAGACTACAATGACAGTTTTAGTAAAATAATTAAGTAATTCTCTTTAATTATGTATGCCCGGTGGCTGTAAATCATAGACACTTTTTGTTTTAAAATGCTGACAAAATATTTTCTTAATGTTTCCCATAGATGCATACACAACTTCAGAAGTGACCTACATTTGGACTTACAATGCATCTGATTCCGTACAAGTTGCTCCGGATGGTTCTAGATTGAATCAGTATGATTTGCTAGGTCAAACTGTTGGAAAGGAGACCGTTAAATCGAGTACAGGTTAGTAGACTGTATTGGAAGAAAAGGATACTTGCTTTATAATAAAAACCATAAGATGCTGATGGTATAATGTCATTAGCCTGCCAAAACCAGTATTGGCAGGAATAAGATTACTGCATTTTAGTATTATTGTATAGTATGAGCAGCCTGTAGGAACACCTTACTAATTCTGGGTGCTTAGTGAAATAGCAACTGGTAGTGGAGGTTAGCTGCTCCCTATCACTGTTTCTGTTTCAATAGAGTTATCATGAAACCTAATATTAAGGGGGTTTATTAAACTTTCTAACCAAAACCTGGGTTAAGGTGAAAGATGGGAAATGCCATTTTTAATATATTCATGGTGTGATTTGTTTTTTTTCTTCTGGGCAGTAGATTATTAGAATAGCCTATACCAATAGCTATTCCACAAGCTCTTACATTTAGCCGACCCTTGCATATGCATGCAGCTGTGTTGACTTCAGTGGGGCTTTGTACATCCACTCATGCACATGGATATGCAAGATTGAAGCCTATGATCTTTGTCATTGCAGTTTTTCCTTGTAAATACAGGTTGGACCTCCCTGGTCTGGCATCCTTGGGACCTGACCAGTCCAGATGAGGGATTTTACTGGACCAGGGGAGATCATTTCTGCCCCCCGCTTCAATACTTACTGAGGTTCCTGGCCCTCACCAGGCCACCCCTATCACGGCTCCCAGCTCTGCCAGGCAGCCTTGCCAGGCACGTGGGGTCTCCCAGCGCATGGCTTTTGCTGGACCAGAAAGTCCCAGTTTAGAAAGTTTTAATCTGTATAAAAAATCACTTCTAGAACATGTTGTGAAAAACTTCCTGGATTCAAGCTTGCCCTGCCCACGGCTAAACTTTCCTTGAGGTCAGTGATAGTTGGATCCACCCCATAAAGTAAAACATTCCATTTACATGCAGAAGAATTTTTCTGCCTACAGTACTTTTGTAGATTGCATCTACAGCATATTTGTTTCAGATAGACGTACCATGCTACCTTTAATTGCCATGAAACTGAATTGTCTACAGATGCTAACAGCTCATTTTACAGGGTCTTTTGTTTGTTCTCTTTCATGTACTAGGTGAATATACAGTAATGACAGCCCATTTTCATTTAAAGAGAAAAATTGGTTATTTTGTGATTCAGACTTACCTCCCCTGCATCATGACAGTCATTCTCTCCCAAGTGTCATTCTGGCTGAACAGAGAATCTGTACCTGCAAGGACAGTCTTTGGTGAGTACTCTGAGGAACAAATGGCATGTGCATTAGGCAACATCTGCACCAGTCAGTAACCATTTCTGATACCAGCTGAACCCCACTTAGTTCTTTTTTAGGGTGGCTTCCAGTATGGGGGCTAGAGGGTCTGGGCCTATTCAACCCTGATGATTCAGATGACTGCCCTGTAAAAATCAATCCAAAGTGGCAAGCATGCATATGTGCTTGAGGAGAGTAGAGACTTTCAGGAGTGAGCAGAGTCTTGAGATTTGGCTCAAAGACTTTAGCTAGGAAGGGCTGGAGGTGGCCTGCTAAGCCAGGGGAGACCCTGAGAAAGCATTTCTTTGTTTTATGTGGAGTTTACTTTCTGTGCATAAACCCAGAGCCCCAGGAGGATTATTTTGACCACAGAAGAAGTCTGTGAACTCTGTATAAGGTGCCTGAAGAAGTGGGAGCAGGTATGTGGTTCCACAAAGTGATATCTGACTATGAGGGGTGCTCAGGAGGAAGAGAAAATTGAAGCAGAGAAGATATTGGTAACAAGTTTATTATAGAAAGGGTAAAAGTGCTGCTGTTTTTAGTCCATAGAACCCTCAGGTGCAGGCTGCAGATCTCTTGACAATTCTGAGGCTTTTCAGGAGATGAGAGTGGCATGCAGGTATTTCCTTGACATTTTGGGGGGAATAATTTGCATGAAAACTAAAATAAGGTTCTAAAGTTAAAAGTTGAATTTATATTGAGTTTTGGCTTGAAATATTTTTATCTCTACTATTAACAAGTATTTGTGTGGGTGGGGGTTTATGTGTATGTCTAGCTCTATTTATACCTAAGCAGAATGAGAGCCTCACATCATTTCAGAATATGGCAGTGTGCAAACTGTAGTTCTTTTTCTAGTGAACATGTGCTTCTGGGCTTAATCCTGCTCCTTCAGCCAAATTAGATGGATAGATGGAAGATAGATAGATGGAAGATATGGCATTCACAATGAAGGAGGTGGTGAATGAATTCAGCAGCTAAGATTCAGGAGTTCTCTTAATCTAAGACACTTAAATGCCTCCTGTTACTGTAGTATCTAAGGCTGTGTCTAAACTACATCCCTTTTCTCAAAAAAAGGGATGTAAATTAGACACTTTGAAATTGCAAATGAATCTGGGATTTAAATTTCCTGCACTTCATTTGCATAATGGCAACCAAGGTGTTTTTCGAAATGGGGCATTTCGAAAGAAAAACAGCTGTTTAGACAGGGATTGATCTCGAGTACAGAATCTTTCAAAAAAGGGAATTGAGGCACAGAGAGACTACATGATTTAGGGTCATAGCAAAGGGGGGCTGGAAGGGATCTCTGTGGAAGCCATAAGTGGGCCCACAAATCCAAGAGCTGAGGATGGAAATTCCCAGCCCTATATTTCAGCCTGGAACCTGAAACACCAGCTGGCCCTTATCAGCTTTAACCCGTGCACTTGAGCTGGGATATAAGCAGTAAACAAGTTTGATTCAGCTCATAAGAGTGACAAGAATGGCATTGAGCCCATACGCGTTCACCCAGTAAACACCTGGGGTACAAAGGCGTTGGTGGGTCCTGTGCATGGGAAGTCTTACCAAGGACCCAGGCCTCGGGGGTGCCCAGACCTCCCTTAGCTGGAGCCAGATCCACTGCGGTCCTTGAAGCAAGGACAACGGGGACAGAACTTCCCATAGTAGAAGGGACGTTAGCATGCCGTAAGCCCCGTAACTCCTATCTGCTTTTGCTCTGCATATGATTTCTAACGTGTTACTTAGTAATAGCAGTAACTTAGCAACATTAATAAAGTATCCCTAGTCACTGGAAGCTCTGTGTCGAAGCGAATCCGTACCCCAGTGGGTTTACATAAATGAACTAGGCTTTATTATGGTATTATAGTAAACCTTCTATTAATTGCTTTAGAATGTTTAGTATTTAAGGTTTAAATTGTATAGTAATTGTTTTTAAGGCTTGTAAACCTTAAACAATTGTATTAACTGCTTAAAGCTTGCAATAAATAAGAAAGTAGTTAAGTCTCCTTGGAGTGTCCTGGTTTCCCTTGGATCTAAAATAAATCAAACCCCACAACAATCCCAAGATCATCTAGTCCAGTCCCCTGTACTGTGACAGGACCAAGTATATCTAGAACATTCATGAATAGGGTTTTCTAATCTATTTGTTAATTCTTCCAGTGATGAGTATTCCATTATCTCCCTTGGAAGTCTATTCCAGTATTTATCTATTCTTGTAGTTTGAAAAGTTTTCCAAATAATTAAACTAACCTACTTCCTTACTGCAGCTACAGCTGCTTGTCCTACCTTCCATGGACATGGAGAACAATTGATCAGTCTTCTTTACAACACCCCTTAACATATTTGAAGACTATTGAGGGGGAACATGACAGTCTTTATTTTCCCCTCAAATCTAAGCATACCCAATTTTTTAACCTCTCCTCATTGGTCATGTTGCTAAAATGTGGCACCCAGAATTGGTCACTGTACTCCAGCTGAGGCCTTGGCAGTTCCAAGTAGAGATAATCGTTAGCGCCCATGTATCTATGCTCTTGTTAATACACCTTAGAACATCAGCCATTTTTGCAGCTGCATCCCATTGTTGATTCATATTCAGTTGTGATTCACTGTAACCCCTAGATCTTTTTCAGCAGTACACTTGCCTAGCCAGTTATTCCTCATTTTGTAGTTCCTTCCTAAGTTAAATGTTTTCCACCTTTGTTGAATTTCACCTTGCTGATTTTACTCTTTATTAAGATAATTTTCAATTGTAATCCTGCCCTCTAAAGTGCCATCCTGGTGCCATCCACAAATGTTAAAAGTATACTCTCCACTCCGTTATCCAAGTCATTGATGAAAATATTAAATAGCATCAGAGCCTTGCAAAACCCTTCTAGATCTGTCCCACCAGTTTGATAGCATACCACTGAGGAATACTCTTTGATTACAGCTCTTCAACTAGTTGTGCACCCACCTTACAGTAATTTTGTCTTAAATACATTTCTCTAGGTTTTTTAGGCAGGTAACATGTGGGGCTTTGTCAAAAGCCTTACTAAAATCAAGATCTATCATGCCTACAATTTCCTTTCCTATCCACTAAGTCAGTAACATGCTCCAAAGAAGGGAATTAGGTTGGTTTGGCATGATTTGCTTTTGACAAATTCATATTGGCTATTACTCTGTTATTCTCTAGGTACTTACAAATTGATTTTTAATATTGTATTCCACTATCTTTCCAGGTATCAAAGATAGACTCACTGATTTATAATTCATTGAGTCCTCTTTGTTCCTCATTTTAAAGAGAGGTACTATGTTTGCCAGTCTTCTTGGACTTCACCCATCTTCCATGAATTCTCCAAAGTCGATTAATTACTAGTGTTTCTGAGATTGCTTCAGATAGTTTAAGTACCCTAGGATGAAATATATTCAGAACTACATTTATGTTCCGCTAGCATGATTTGTTGATTTAGTAGTAACATGTTTATGAATAAAAGGCAAAACATTATTGTCCTTTGAAAGTAAGACAACTTAGTTAGGTGTTTAATATGGAGTTAGTTAACATTTTCAAATGTAGGCATCTAAGATATTTTATGTTTATGTAAGAATATTTGTTCTTTGCTATTCTATAGATGTCATCTACTATCTTGATATTAATAGTTTATACTAATCTAGCTAATCACTAGGGGTGTGTCTAAACTACACCCCTCTCCCACGCTTCATTTGAATAGAAACGGCTGCTGCTTTTTCCCGATGCGGCACTTTGCCGGCAAAATCGGCTGTCTAGATGGGGATCAGTCGACAAGGAAAGCCTTTTCCGACTGATCCTGTAAACCTCATTGCATGAGGCAAAAGTGATTGGTCGGAAAAGGCTTTCCTTGTCGACTGATCCCCATCTAGACAGCCGATTTTGCCGGCAAAGTGCCGCATCGGGAAAAAGCAGCAGCCGTTTCTATTCAAATGAAGCATGAGATATTTAAATCCCCGCTTCATTTGCAATAGCGATGTGCCTAATCTACATCCCTCTGTCGGCAAGAGGGGTATAGTTTAGACGCATCCTAGTTGTCAAGAACAAATCTCAAATGAAAAAAATGGAAAAGTAGCATAATTAGCACTGATAACACAACTGTCAATCTTTAACACTGGTATCATGTTTGGTGTCATATATGGAGCAGAGTCATGAAAATTGATGAGATCAGCTTGTTCTAAAATAAATGTCTTTGGAAGATTTTCAGAGTCTGTTGAAAAGAGTTTCTTCCCAGATCAGAACTTCTAGGAAGAACAAACCAACCTAAAACATCAAACATTGTAAGATGATGATGGACATATGTAAGACCTGCTTTAAGGATGCCACCAACATGGCAATAATATGCATGCCACCTGGAAAGAGAAAAAGGGCAATCTAGAGAAACATATAGAACAGTAGAGGAAAAAAGCCAAATCCACCATGATGCTCAGAAGCCTAAATAGAGGAGCATATGACCAAAATAAATGGAAGAAACTGGTGGAATCTTTTTGCACCAGCGAGTTTAGAAAAATAAAGGAAAAAAGAAACGGTAGTTTTACCTCCTATTTTAAAAGGAATAGTGTAATATGTTAGAATTATAGCACACTGAAAATAGGCCTCTTCATAAGGAAATGGGATTTCACAATTTCCTGATAATGGCCAGAATGACTTTAGACTTGGTTGTTTCAGTGATTACCAGATCTTTAACTTAAGAGAGTTTTTGAGATGGATGAATGTCATAAGTCATACATTTATGCACTTCCATGAAACCTTTAATTCAGTGCATCAAACAAGGGTGTAGAATCTGATAAGGTAAGCTGTCACTGGGGAAAATAGTGGCATTAGTATAAAAGCTCTAAAATGGAATGGAAAGCTTGCATTAGAGGCAATGACACACATGTGGCATTGTTTCCCCTATCTGAAGGAGCATGGCAAAGCTGCATTCTGCCACCTTTGTTTTTCCATATTGGTACTGGTTGGTTGAAGGCAGTTTTAGACAATGTTGAGATGAGAACTGTTGTGGTTTGAGATCTTGAGTACACCAATGATACTATCTTGCTGGCTCTGATAAGTGAATCGCTGCAGTGGATGGAGCCTCCTTCTGCACCCCAAAGCCCTTATCCCCAGATCCACCCCAGAGCCTGCAGTCTCGTCCCCCTTTCTACTCCCCATTCCCCTGCCTCAGCCTACAATTCCCTCCCATACTCCACCCCCAGCCTGAAGCCCACTCCCACACCCAAACCCCTCATCACTGGCTCCATCCCAGAGTCCACACTCCACGCCTGAGCCCTCACACCCCTTCATGGTAAACCCCTGAGCCAGCTCAGTGAAAATAAGTGAGTGAGGGTGGGGATGGAGTGAGCAAGGGTAGGGCTTCGGAGATGTGGCAACACAGGGGACAGGACAAGGCTATTTGGATTTGCACCAGTAGAAAGTTGAGAACCCTAGTGCTGTGCAAGGCTTTCCCCATCCCATGGCTTCTGCTGGTGCTGGGAATGCTGGCGTTTTCCCTGCCCTGCCCAGTGAGTGGCAGAAGCTGAGGACCTCTCCGTTGGGCAGTGGCTAATCCAGCACCATATCTTTGCTCTGGAAGAGGTGGCTAGCTAGAGACTAAGGCAAATATTGTGGTTACATAGCTCCACAAACTCCTCTAGCACCACCCTGAGTGCCTTCAGAAAAGGCAAAGTGAATAGCATATGGAAAAGGAAGTTGCATATAATGTTTTTACACCTCAGCTAGTGTTATTCACTGGAGCAGTTACACATGTTTCCAATGTATTGGGAGCACCCTCAGGTATTTATGTGTACTAGAAATTAAATTGTGAAATGAGTTGAATTCTAGAGCACTGGAGAGTCCTCTCCTGTACAATGAATAGGAGAGGTAATATAGGCCAGCTGGACTGTATTTGGAGGCTGTACAGATGGCTGGGGACCATTTGATGCTCATTTCTATGCATCAATAGTCATTTTTATTTTTATTTGATTTCTCATTTGGAGCTTCCTTTGTTAGGTCATGCATGTAATACTAAGGTATAGATTGGTTATGGGCTAATACAGGGCTTCTGAAAATGTTTAAAAGGTTCAATATTTATAGCATCCTACAGCATATGCAGTAGTGCAAGCTACTTTCCACTCCATTTTGCTGCCCTGTAATATCTCTGTTACAGCTACACTTCTTGAAAAGAATCACTGCGCAAGTGCAGAAATGACTTGGAGATGGGGCTACAAGTATAGATAAGGGGAGTATTTGACCTGGAGAATATTTATTATTGGTTGTGAGGCACAAGAAATTTTTAAAAAGCTTGATTTTCAGATTACAAATTGAATTTTAAGGGCTGACAGTTAAAAAGACATACTTATACTTATTAACTAAGTATATTCAACATAAAGGCATTGAAACATTAAATATGAAATCCCACAATATCATTTTTATAGACTAGAACCATAACAGTAAAATTAGAAAATTCCAAAATGAAGGTAATACCAATAATTGTTTTTGGCATTTCTTGCCATCTATTCAGTGCCATATCTGCACAATGATTGGAAAGGGATTAGGATAATATTGGCTGAGGTCAGGTATATTTGAAGACTGTTCATTTCCTTATCAACCATCTTTTTTTTTTTTTTTTGAAAGAGTGATTTGACCTTAGGTAATGTTTGGGGCACATTGAGTTGGTAGCGTTGCTCAGACTGTTGTATGATTAAAGGCAGGTGACAGCTTTCCTCAAAAGAAGTGGTATCTGTCATAGATTCCTTCCACTCATGACTCTCACATCATTATAACATCAGTATTTCTTCAATTAAGTTTAAACTTGGGTAATGGAATGGAAAATCAGACCCTTAATGTATACTTTTGCTTTCTTTTATATTCGTTTGGACTGACTCTTTAGCATTACTGATTTTTTTTGTCATAGTATGTCCAACAGTAATAAACAAACAAATTGTCATTATACTATGCTTTTTCCTAAGCAAAGTCTTATTATGCAGAAATTTCTTTTCATTTTAATTTAATCCTAATAATGAAAAAATCTATTGCCAGTTGATTAAAGAACAGAATGCCACAGATTTACACATTGGAAGTTTGGCTTTACAATACAAATTCTTTTTAATTTGTTCTTCATTCAATCCAGGTTATAAAAATTTGGTCACTTGGACATCATTCAGTTTATGTAATTGATAAATAAAAGTCCAGAAACCTTCATTAACAGCTGTTTGAATAATGTTTGGTACTCAGAGTCTGCAGCTGAACATTTTAGAGGAATTGGCAACCAGTAGCAGTACATAAGTTGTACATTTGTAATATCTAAAACCAGACTAGAAAAGGTCACTAACAAATCTTGAATTAGAATTCCAGAGAAGCCAATGTGGTTTCAAGAAAATTAGCATTATGAATTACACAGAACGTTGTTGGCTGCTGTATATGTTTACATAGGCATTCAGGTCATCTTATTTTTGAGAAGCAATCACTTCATACACACCTGCATTTAATGAAATTTATTTATTGGAATTACCTGAATACTATTACAGTTTGTGTGTATTACTTTCAAGTTTAAGGTGTGGAGTCCCCTTCTCCCTTTTGGGGAAGGAATAAAAAAAACCCAGTACTGTTCTTTTAGGGGTGGGAAATAAATGCTTGTTAAAACATTTGCTGTGTGTCGATGTACAATGCTTATTTTGCATTGCCATGGTGTACAGTTTAATAGCTCATACTTACCACAACAATGTTGCTGTTGATTTTATAACTACCTCCCTAATAGGTGGATTCTAAAAATAAAACTATGTGATGTGTGGCTTGATGCCTGGAAACTATGTGCAGTAAGCAGTGTGTCTCTGTAACTTCTAGAGAAGTCTTTTAATCACAGTAGGAAAGAGAAAGATGGAAGTTATTTGCCTAACCTCCTTTTCCCATCGCAGTCCTCTCAGAAAGGGAGGGTTGCTTAGGGCCTAAAGGGGAACAGGGACAGCAAAAGGAAGAAGGGGATTGAGCAGACCTCCTCTCTGCTTCCTTTCCTTTCCCAACCGGGCTTAAAAGTGCCTTGCCAGTAGAGGTGACATGAACGTTTGAGTCCCATTCTCCAGAGTTTGTATGACTGATTTCCATTATAGAGTATCTTGCAGATTTTTCCTTTCCTGAATTCACCATTCTTTGATTACTTCCTGCAGACTTAACACTTGTTCCTGTTCTTTTAGGTATCTGACCTTATTTCCTCTCAATAAGTGTAACCAGTTATAATAAATATTTTTGTTTGTAATATTTGAATTGTGAATTATGAGAAGAGAATTAATAATTCTTTTCTGTCACTGAGGCTCTTTTGACTCTGCCAATAGTAGTATAGAAATATTGATGTCTGGTATGCATACAACTTTGTATTGTTTGTTATCCAGGAGACACATACATTTTTAATGGTATTCCACAAATGGAAGAGTTAAGGGTGTCTAGTTGTAACTTTGGTGGCTGGGTAGGATTGATTTAGTAAGGGTACGTCTACACAGCAACATTATTTCAAAATAACGCTAGTTATTTTGAAATAACGGTCCGTGTCTACACAGCAGTCAGTTATTTTGAAATAATATTGAAATACTGTCAAGCTGAAGGTCTTCATACTCGGACTCCTGTATCCCTCAGGGAAGTCCTGTAACCCTCAGGGAAGTTGGAGGAAGAGTGCTCTATTTTGACATAAGTGCCGTGCAGATGCTCCCAATTTTGAAATAAGCTGTTTCAAAATAAGCTGCACAATTGATGGAGCTCCATTTGCATAACTTATTTCAAGTTGAGCCCTGCTGTGTAGACTAGGGGAGTTTTTGGTATATTTGTGTCAATGGGTGGGTTAAAAGGTGATTTATATTGGTGTATGGTTTTTTTCTGAATATCATGGGTCTTGTATTGGTTTGAGTATGGCTTTATCACCACCAGTTGGGGTATCATGAAGTGCAAAATGTCTTTGTTTTCTCTGGTTTTTTAATGTTTAAATAAAAATATTAACAGGAAGACAGATTAGTCTGAAAGTTTCAATTAATTAGTTTTACTACAATATTATCCAACTGACCACTTTATCCCTCTTAATAATTGTATGTGGCAGTCAGACAGCTATTACCAAAGATGCCTTTAATCTCCTATTGTTCCCAGTGTGACTAAACCCACAGGCTGTCTTATAATGGCTTCCATACATGTATAACCTTTGAAAATGGACACAAAAGGCCCCTCTTTGGAATGACAGCCATTAATTATTTTCCATTGTTTGCAATGCCAGGCTGACCTCAGAGAAATTGACCATTTTGGATTCTGTAGTTAAGAAGCTAAGAAGGAAACTGAGAGGAGACAGGGGTTATTGGCAGTGCAAGTGCTCATCGAAAAATCATTTTTGCTATGCTGCTGCTAAGTGATTTGACCTATTTAATTAAACAAACGTATACTTTTAGTGGCCTTGCTGTGGGTTTTCCCCCAATAGTATGATTAATCAAAAAAGGAAAATTATAACCTCTATGTGTTTTCAAGACTGTATTTTCTGTTATCACCAACAATTATTTTAAAATAAAACGAAAGAAAAAACAAAGGACAATTCTGCAGCTACTTTTTCAATAGGGTGTGCTAATATGCTACCATACTGTATGAACAATATGTAAATATTTTTATAATTCTTAGATATGTACTGTAAGATGTTCCTCTTTTGAAGCACATTAAATTTCAAAATTCAATTAAAAGTGCTGACATTTTCTTTTTTCCCCCACCCTCTCACAGGTGTAACAACTGTGTTGACAATGACAACGTTGAGCATCAGTGCACGAAATTCCCTTCCAAAAGTAGCTTATGCAACAGCCATGGATTGGTTTATTGCTGTTTGTTATGCATTTGTATTCTCTGCATTGATAGAATTTGCTACTGTAAATTACTTCACAAAACGAGGATGGGCCTGGGATGGAAAAAGCGTAGTCAATGATAAGGTAAATGATAATGAAACACATTTATATTTCCAATCAATTCCTAGAAACCAGTTTAGCAGATATTTTGATAGTTGGTTATTACTGAAAAATACTTGAAGTTTCAAACCAATAGAAAGCTTATGACTTGTGAAATGAAAGTTGGAGCGGGTAGAAAGATATTGTTAAGTGTGTGTTCAGATTGCCAAATTTAGCAGAAATTAATCTGCATGCAGGAACTTTCTCTAGCAGGCTGTCCTTGGAGAAATGATTATTGTGTCAAAGCTCTCTCCACATTAATCATTAGCCTGTCTAAATCTTGTTAAATGTCAAAAATATAAACTCTGAGGTTACACCACATCATATTCCTGAATTCTTCATGTGGAAATGAATACAATCAGAGTAATATTTCTGAAAAAATCTTTATTCAGACTTAATGAAAAAGCATCTTAAACTTGCATCCACTACATTTCAAAACATTAGAGAGACACTCACATTCACCCAACTTCTTTTTTCCTTATTTGTTTCATAGTTATCCATTTCCCTCTTGTTATTTATGTCTATGTGTAAACAGCTGCATTATTTTGGAATAACTGGCATTATTCCAAAATAACAGAGAGCATTTTCTAAACTGCAAGCCATTATTTCAAAATAATGGCAAACTGGAGGACTTCTTACTCTGACTCCTGTTATCCTCATTTTACAAGGAGTAAGAGAAGTCAAAGGAAGAGTGTTCTTCTTTTGATTTCCTGCTGTGTAGACAGCGCCAGAAGCCAGATTAAGCTATTTCAACTTGAGCTACGTCAATTGTGTAGCTTAAATTGCTTAGCTTAATTTGACTTTAGCCCTGCTATGTAGATGTACCTTATCTGTGTTACTGTGAAGAATATCAACAAATGGTCTGGTAGCACTTTATAGACTAACAAAACATGTAGATGGTAACATGAGTTTTTGTGGGCACAGCCCACTTCTTCAGATGACTGGAGTTATGAGTTTAGGATGTGCACAACCAAAATAAATAGGAGAGGGGAAGGGGAGGGAAGAAAAAAAGGGGGGGAGTCAGAGAGCAGAGGGAATTAGTAAGTATCTGAAGATTGGATAGTTAAAATAAGCAGATACGAATCAAAGTTAATAGATACTCCCATGCCAGGAAAGATACTATCTATTATCTATTAACTTTGATTCGTATCTGCTTATTTTAACTATCCAATCTTCAGATACTTACTAATTCCCTCTGCTCTCTGACTCCCCCCCTTTTTTTCTTCCCTCCCCTTCCCCTCTCCTATTTATTTTGGTTGTGCACATCCTAAACTCATAACTCCAGTCATCTGAAGAAGTGGGCTGTGCCCACAAAAACTCATGTTACCATCTACATGTTTTGTTAGTCTATAAAGTGCTACCAGACCATTTGTTTTTTTTTTGTCAGTAACAGACTAACTCGGCTACCCCCTGAAGCTTGTGAAGAATATGTTCCTGCATACTAAAGGTGAAGGCCTGGGATCAAAGGAGGTCCCAAAATCTTTAAGATGTTGCCCATGGGAATGATAAGGAGCTGCTCAAGGGGTGTCCGGGAGAGCTAATAGTCAGACAAGCAGATACACAGAGGCAAAGGGTGCATGCTGTAGGCAGAAAAACCTGCTTTTCCCAGCTAAAAATGGGAGTTAGTCAGGTTAAGGAACTTACAAAAGCATTCAGTGAAAGATTGAAGTGTAGGTATGGGATAATATGCATATGGGACTCTTTGTTATTTAACCCTTTGCTATGTGTGCTTTCTACCTTTGTTTTGAAGATGCTGTTTCTGGGTTATTTCAAAGTAAGGGTATTTCTACACTTGACAGACCAAACTTTTTTCATTCTTGGGTGCTTATACCCCTCTCCCTCCACAAACAACAAAGTTTTGCTGCTGCAAGTGAAAGTGTGAATGCTGCTTTGTTGTCAGGAGCGCTCTCCTGTGCAGTGTAGACATACTATTGTAGGTAGAAGGACCAGAGAATTGTGAGGAACTTTGGAATATTTAATTAAACTTGAATATGGGCCTGGTATCTAGATCTCAGAATGAAAAATGCAAGCATATAATGACCCTGTGCCCATATTTAATTTCAGATGATGAGGCCTGTTTAGTTTTAAGCATCTCTTATGCCACCTGAAATTTCTTCTTGTCCCTCTTATAACCTAATCAGTAGCCCAGTCTGATGAGGATGCAAGTAAGTGTTGGCCTATTCGTAGGACTTCTAAGCATGGTGGAGGAAGCTGAGAGTAGGAGGCATGACAGCCAGGTAGGCTTGCACAAATATAATCTCTAGACAAGTCACAAGGTATTAAGCAGCTAGGAGTGACAGAGATTGTTTCCTTAGAACTCAGGAAACATTTTTCCATGGCTGGCCCTGTGGCTGCTCTGTCTGAGTTTAAAGTGCAGCACACCAGACAGGCAGTAGGAGTAATGGAAAATCATTAATATGCCAGCATCATACTCAACATTTATATTGACTGAATTGCATTTAAACAGTTTTGCTCTGACCACATTGTATCTCAGGCACTGTTCCCCCTTGGTCACAACCATTTTCTCCTTAAGCCATCAGTACTGAGTTTTGTGCAGTCCAGGTTTGTTCATGGTGCTGATCCTTGTGCACATTATCTGCACTATGCAGAACCCTCGTTACTCAGGTTTTCAGTCACATCTCTTTTTGCACTTCTATTGACTAGTCTTCCTGCAGGGAGAGTCAGGAAAGCATCATTTGGGTCCCTGTAGCCATCGTGTTTAAGTAAAGTGATACTCTATTACAATTGTTGCTTTGACCATGGATCAATTTGCTAAATATTCAGTTGAATACTAGGCTTTCTAAGATATAGAGAGTAGGTATTAATAGTTTGTTAGGCTTAATCACATTCTTAAGGTTTGTAAACTCCTCTGTGATATTTCAAAGATGCTATAGACTAACAGCACACTTGTGAGCTGTGAACTATTATTCTCATTTTACAGAGCAGGAAAAAATACATCAGTGAAGTATCCTGTTCAAGGTCACACTGTGATACTGTGGCCAACCAAAACAACCAGAAACTTGCTGTTCTTGACCCCCAGTCCTGTGCTCTAGCCTCTAACATTCACTTCATCCAGTCAGTTTCTTGTAATTTCTCGTTGGTTGAAAAGCTCAATCTTAAATTCCTTTTATACACTAGGACAACTTTACAAAAGTAAGAGTCTAATCAGTACTTGCAAAATAAGAATGCCACTATTAAACAGTTACCTTCATGTATCAAATAAGTTGTTAGATGTACGGAAACTTGGTTATCATAAGTAACTGCCTATTTTGTACATGCAATTACCTTTTTTGCTTACAGGATCTGCATATTCTACAGGGCACATCTTACAAACTTCTTATTGAAAATGTGCTCCTGCATCTTTTACCCAGCAGACTCCTTGACTGTTTACAGTTTTTAGGCCCAAGTCCAACAACCATAAAAGACAGTGGAAAGACTCACATTGATTTCAGTGGGCACTAAATTGAATCTTTAGTTTTTATAGTGTGATTGCATGCCTCCACAAACAAGCTGAAATTAGTGTATGTCCTATTCTTAGTATAAATAAATTATGTCTGAATGAATCAATGCAAGATCTAATCTTTAGTCACAACATTGGATTTATTGAAAACATATCGTTATAACACATAGATATTTTACTATAATATCAGTAGCAGAGACACTGAGACTAACAACACTATCTTGCAATAACTCTCATAATATTTCATTTAAGAAGTCCCCAAGCACCAGAATCTTGTGTACTCATTTTCAATTTATGTACAGTGTATTATCAAATTCTAAAAATATTTA